TTTTTTTTTCTAGTCAATAATACATTACATCTCAATAAGTTCAAATCTTACCATGCATGACATATACGACAAATTAAGTCAAATACATTATACTATAGTTTTGGAATTACATTACAAGTGGAACTAAAATATATATAATTTATTATATCTATATGCTTATTTATTGAAACTCTCATTGATTCATTTTTGAAGACCAGTCTATAGTCCACTCTAGCATGTTTATTTAACAAAAATGATAAATGAAAAAAAAGAAGTCAAATATCGTAATATATTGGGCGATTTTACAATCGATCAACTTGGCTTCACATCTAATTAATTACCTTCTGTGGTATGAACGAATGAATAAATAAAATATAGGAAGCAATTCACACTAATTTCATTGTAATTATGATATATATGCCATTTAATTTCACCACCTGCCTGCTGTTATTTTATCAGTTATCACCCTCCGATCTCGCAATTGTTACCTATCAAAAAATATATTATATAGTATTGAAGAGAATTATATATTGAGTGGCTCGTCAATTAATTGAATCTTAAAAATGAATAGCAGCATAAATTCAAAATAGAGAAGGCCATGCATGACGAAAACAAAATATATATATATTTATATTATTTTAGGTGTATTTACATGTTTAAAAAATGTCGTATATAAATATTAATTAGATTCGAATGCATACAATATAAATGAATATGATTTAAGTATTATTAAATGTAGTATATATATATATATAATTTTATTTTATTTTTTTAAAAAAAATACCATTTGTTTGTGCAATATACAAGGAATGGGTTATCTGTCCCTTCACTCTCCGCCCATTGGATAGACTTTTCAAATCCATAGAATATAACATAAATAAAAGAGACCATGTACAGGTCAGCATTTAATTAATAAATTTTATATATATTATTATTACTTAGTTATTATGTATTTAAAAGTTTTAATAATAAGCAATTAAAGACCCAAACTCCTATCCTTCAATTCCATGCATCTATAAATTGCCCCCCGCCATCTTCACACCTCCTCATTACCTCCTCGCAATTCATTACTTTTAGTTGTCCCTCAATTCGCAGGTTTCCTTCTTCATCATTTTTCTCACTTAATTAGTTATTTGCACTAGTTTCATATATATATATATATATATATATATATATATATATGTGTGTGTGTGTGTGTGCTCAACTTCATCTTCATGATCATGCATGTAAACTAAACAATATTAATTGTAACATAAAAGTTTGATGTATACAATTATGTAATACTATATTATTGCAGGGCACAGTGAATATTAATGGAGTCATTGAAGAGGGCCGTAGTATGTTTGATGTTGCTCCTCCTATGGACGGACGGGTCGAAAGCCCAAACCCACAACCCTAGCAGGATCGACACCCGTTACAAGAATCCGAAGCTGCCGATGGCCCTGCGGGTTAGGAGCCTCTTGGCCCAAATGACGCTCAAGGAGAAAATCGGGCAGATGTCCCAACTTAACCACGTCAACATAACGGCAGACATCCTGAGGGAATATTCCCCTGGGAGCCTCATCAGCGGGGCCGGTGAGACCCCACGCCCGGACAATCGAGCCACCCCACAAGATTGGATCAACTTTGTCAACGACTACCAGAAAGGCTCCATGTCTAGCAGGCTCGGGATACCCATGCTGTATTCCATTGACTCGGTCCACGGACACAACAGCTTGTACCGGGCCACCATTTTTCCTCACAATGTTGGACTTGGCGCCACTAGGTTGACTTTTTGATTGGTTGTCATTCATTTGAATTTATTTTTTTTTATTTTTTTTTTATTTGATTTGAAAAACAGTCAATATATATATCTTGGATAAATATTGATTAATTAATTTGGGTATGTGACATATATATGGGATATATGGTGTAGAGATCGAGACCTTGTGAAGAGGATTGGAGCGGCTACGGCTCTTGAAACGAGAGCGACCGGCATTCCCTTTGCCTTTGCGCCATGCATAGCCGTAAGCAAATTCAAAACACACACACACACACACAAAAAAAATCAATCAATTAATCAATAAATAAATAATAACGTCCCGTGGTTAGAGTTTGTTTAATATTTTCGTAATATTGAGGGTGGAGCGATTGGCTGGTGCAGGTTTGCAGGGACCCGAGGTGGGGCCGGTGTTACGAGAGCTTCAGTGAGGACCCACTCGTCGTTGAAGAGATGACAGATATGATCCTTGGTTTACAAGGAGACAACGGCGCAAAAGGTGTCCCTTACGTTGGTGGAAAGTAAGTAGTTTAATTTTTTTTTTTTTTATTTTATGAATAAAAACTCATCATATATATTTGAAATAATCTATATATATATAATTGTTGGCATATAGAATTTAATAAAACATTTAATAAAACCTCCATTCATTTTTCTGCTCATTTTTTCAATTAATATAGAACCGTTACATTTTACGTTAATAAAGTGTAATTATAATTTTAATATAATGTATTTACTACTAAAACTAATTGATTACAACTTTACATTAAATTATGTGGAAGTTACATACTTATAAAAAATTGTATTGTAATTTTTTTCTTTAAAATACTTTTTTTAAAATAAAATATTTTTGTTCTTTTTAAGCAATTTTATCTAATAAGTTAATTGGCATGAGTTTCATAATTAAACACCTTAAAATCACATAAAAAAAATTCTATAACAATGATAAAAATAATTGTAATACTTTTCTAACTAATAAATTGTATGGTCCCTCTAAATTACTAAATTATATTAGCCATTAGAATTTATGGCATCAATATAAAGATTCATACGTAAGTTAAATAAATTATATTTACAATACACATTTGCATGTAATCCAAATTTAAAATGTAATACATCAATTATTTAATATAAAATTTGTATATATTGCATACATAAATATAATATATAAATTTTTATTTTTCTTTGTGCATGTGCACAGGATGAATACTAGTAATATATATAATGGCGCTCATGCAAAAATGGACTTTGGAAAATTTTGTACCGAAAAAAAAAAAAAAATGTGAAACTGCTTGCTAGCTAGCTACGTACCCGTACGTCCAGTCAATGCTGTCATTTTAATTAATTAATTTGACAAGGAAATTAATGTGTATGATCAGATGTAGCTAAATATATAAATTAGAAGGTGGATAAATCGGTCGATCTTCAACTTGTGCACGTACGACCAAAAATGAACATTGTTTATTATTATTATTATTAATTATATGTTGTGAGTGAGTTTATGATTATTATTAATTTTGGAATTAATTTGACTATACATATTAATTATATCATCATTAATAATGTTATTAAATTATGTGCAGAGACAAAGTGGTGGCCTGTGCAAAACACTACGTTGGTGACGGTGGCACCACAAGTGGAAGAGACGAAAACAACACCATTGCAAACTGGCACGGGCTTTTGAGCATGCACATGCCCGGATACTACCACGCCATCATCAAGGGCGTCTCCACAATCATGGTCTCCTATTCCAGTTGGAACGGCCAGAAAATGCATGCAAACAGGACCCTCGTCACCGATTTCCTCAAGGGCGTCCTTAATTTCAGAGTGCGTGCGTGCGTGCACTTTCTATTTCAATAATAATTCGCAAATATATATGAATATATGATCCATCTACTAATTGATGTGCTTATAATTAATTAATTAATTAAATCATTATGATTTTCCTGCGGCAGGGATTTGTCATTTCCGATTGGCAGGGTGTGGATCGGATGACTGATCCGTGGGGAACTAACTACTCGGCCTCACTCGCTACAGCCATTAATGCCGGTGTTGACATGGCAAGTTATTGAATTAATATACATATATATATATATATATACTCGCCGGCCTTGAATAATTAAGCTGCAAAACATGATTAATTAATGTAATGTAATAATTTTGAATTTTGTGATTTACTTTAGGTGATGGTTCCTCCCAATGCAACCGAGTTTCTTCGTCTTATGACTTCCCATGTGGAGAACAATCTAATTCCTATGAGCCGAATTGACGATGCTGTGAGTAGGATTCTAAGGGTCAAGTTCATTGCCGGTCTCTTTGATCAACCATTGGCCGATAATAGTTTGGTCGGTCAAATTAGGAAACAGGAACATATGGATCTGGCAAGAGAGGCTGTAAGAAAATCACTTGTTCTCTTAAAGAATGGGAAAGAAGCCGGCAAACCCATGATACCTCTTCCCAAAAAAGCATCAAAGATACTAGTCGCCGGAACACACGCTAACAACCTCGGATTACAATGTGGCGGTTGGACAGTTTTCTGGCAAGGAATTCGTAACAGCAGCCTCATAGCAGGTACATATATACAAGCTTTTCTTTAGTTTGGTGTTTTATTTACAATACTTGCACATAATTAATGACTAATATACTATATATGAATTTGGCTTGGTGATCAGGGACCACAATACTTAATGGAATCACGCTCACGGTAGATCCGAGCACGCAAGTTGTGTACAGTGAGAACCCAGATTCGGATACATTAGCAGAGGCCGATGAGTATTCGTATGCCATTGTTGTGGTAGGAGAGCTGCCTTATGCCGAGCAGTTTGGAGACAATTTCAACCTAACCATTCCAGAGCCTGGCTTAAGCACAATCAACAATGTGTGTGATAAAATCAAGTGTGTTGTGGTGTTAATTTCTGGCCGGCCGCTAGTTATAGAGCCTTATCTTCCAAAAATCGATGCCCTTGTTGCTGCATGGCTGCCCGGAGCCGAAGGCCAGGGTGTGGCCGACGTGCTATATGGTGACTATGGTTTTACAGGCAAATTGCCAAGAACTTGGTTCAAGAGAGTAGACCAACTTCCCATGAATTTCGGAGATGCGCATTATGATCCTCTGTTTCCCTATGGTTTTGGGCTGACCACAAAACCTACTGGTGCAAGCTAGGACTCAAATTCAATTCACATTATGTTCAGTGTATTAATTGTAAGGTGATGGATGTCAAGTCATCTATCTCTGAGTTTCCCTTTTTTTTTTGTCTTAACTTTCTTTTGAGGTCGATATGTAGCCGAAAAGCATCGGCGGCGTTCAGTGAGATAATAATTTTCCAGTGTGTTTTGCTAATAGTAATAATCTTGCAGTCTGTCATGAATATTTCCAGGAAAAAAACTAACAAATAAAATGATTTGAGGTGGAAAAGATAAACCTTAAGAATCATAAAACAGTATAGACAATAAAGTTACAACATACATGCAAGGGGATAAGTCCCATTGATCAAATTCATCAGAAAGGATAACAACACATAAACTAAAGCATGCCAGGGGAGAAGTCCCATTGACACCAACCATATATCTTGTTAACTTTGAAACATTATATATAAACCAATCTTGGTTCTTATTTTAAATATTAATACAAGTATACAACTGAAACAAAACATGCATGTTGCAAATGGATAAGAGGATAAGAATTATCCAATCACAAACTAACAATGTCCAT